TTGCCATAGCTATATCGACACGAAAACTAGGATGCTATTGGCCCAGTTTCCATAGCTATATCGACACGAAAACTAGGATGCTGTTGGCCCAGTTGCCATAGCTATATCGACGCAAAAACTAGGATGCTGTTGACCCAGTTGACATAGCTATATCGACACTAAAACTAGGATGCTGTTGGCTCAGTTGCCATAGCTATATCGACACGAAAACTAGGATCCTGTTGGCTCAGTTGCCATAGCTATATCGACACGAGAAATAGGATGCTGTTGGCCCAGTTGCTATAGCTATATTGACACGAAAAATAGAATGTTGTTGGCCCAGTTGCCATCGCTACATCGACACGAAATATAGAATGTTGTTGGGATGCTCTTGGCCCAGTTGCCATAGCTATATCGACCCAAAAACTAGGATGCTGTTGGCTCAGTTGCCATAGCTATATCGACACGAAAACTAGGATGTTGTTGGCCCAGTAGCCATAGCTATATCGACACAAAAACTAGGATGTTGTTGGCTCAGTTGCCATAGCTATATCGACACGAAAACCCACTTCAACCGGTTTTCCCATCCCGTCTCCGCTTAAATCCTATCGATCCCCTCTAACAGCTAATAGTTGAACGATATCTAAACCGTTTTAACCAGAAAGTTAGAACTAGACTACACAAATCAAATGAATGATGCCAACAAAAAGTTTAGTGATTGAGAACAAAATATAGAAGCAATAGGCTAAAGTTCTTCATGTGCTCAAACTTACTTCTTGAATGCTTTCTGTAAGGAAGCATCTTTTTAACATTATGCCAAGGATGGTGATCAATGGCCTGAAATATGTTCCAGAAGCAGCCCGGAATGTTTCGGTTAAACGGCAGATTCGAGTCCTGGCGCCGTGCGTGCTTTTCCATTTTAAACATGATGAGACGTTTTCCTCCAAGCTCTCTACACACAGCTGCTTCTGCTTGCTATCATTCTTTATGAACTGAACATGATGTGGGGAAGCTTTTTTAGATAAGACATAGAATACCATATTGTAAGAAGACTCGAAAACGGATATCTTAACTGTATTTTGAAAGCTTTTTGCTCGAGTTTCGAACACGGAAAACAGACATGAAAACTATCAGGTCAACTCGAATACTCGAACAATCACGATCGAGGATGGTACAGATT